TAACCCAATATCATCATAACTACGTGTGAAATACTTAAAACGTAGATCTAATAATCAGCGCATCAATCGGTATTTTCGTAATAAATAACCCAATATCATCATAACTACGTGTGAAATACTTAAAACGTAGATCTAATAATCAGCGCATCATTCGGTATTTTCGTAATAAATATCACACAAACACACATGTTCAGTTCAATTACACTAACTTAGAACTACAATTCCTGTAACATCGTGACAAAACATAATTGTCGTAGTAAACAACTCTTATACTAAGAGTAGATTAAAATGACAATAAACTCAAAGCTGAAACACGATCTTTGTACAGAACTATTAAACTCTACGTTTTAACAAGTGCTTTGTATGAAAATACCGGGAGTTTTACATAACAATGATAAGTTTTACTTTCTTAACAGCAGTATTGTAAAAACTGATAAATTCCACAATGTTATTACAAGATTAACAAAAACACTAAAATATAAACTTTAACACGAGTTTTATACAAAATAATCAATTAACAAGCTCACATAGCAAGTTATAGACAGTTGTTATTTTATAACCTTTAACGATATATCTCTCTCTCAAATAAAAATAATAATAAAACAACAACATCCAAATCATGTCTAATATTACAATGTAAGCAAGTCAAATTATTCGACTGGTTGTAATCAGAATTCTCTTCTTACATCCACCAAGTTGACACTTACTTTCGTCATCCTTATTGGAAAGTTTCGATAGCAGACCTCCCATGTAAGGCATAGCGGCTCCTCGAATATTTGAATGTGATGAAGAACCACACAGCGATGGGGTGAGCGGATTGACCGGAGAGAGTGGGAACATGTATCGGGACGCCCCCTAGACAACAAACAGTAAAATAACATCTGAAGTGCCATGAACAAAATTGCTTTATCTCGAATATATATACGACCGACAGCAGTTTGACATATCCTGATTATATGTGGTGTAAAGGCTGACTATCAAATAGCAAACGACTGATCAGGTGTTATAACTGTAGTTCGCACCAAGAGACAAAAACCCGTAAAATATCAGAATTAATTTGAGACTTAACAAAAATAATAGACATCTCTGTAACAAATTCTTGTTAAGGTCCAGGGTATGAACATTTCGATTATTCCGTGACCTTGACCTTCAAAATTTAAAGTATGCAGGTCTCTAAACTGAAACAACCTTATTTACTCCACCTTAACGATGAGGAAAAAAAAAAAGGGTAACTGGCGAGGTAGAAGTTTTTTGTTTCAGAAGAAAACTTTAAAAACGACATACATATTATAT